TCCATCCATCCATCCATCTATCCATCCATCCATCCCTCACCTCCAACGCCCCCACCTTTTTCAATGAATTACTCATAGTTTTATTCTTGACATCTCTTGATGATTTCTTGGATGTTCCGATGTTCTTTTCAGGCCTTTGGTTGAACAAATGGTGAAATGTAAGTTTAACCTCTACAATAAATCAAAGTGTTTTGAATTACACGACATTCAAGGCTCCTTTGGTGAATTTTTAAATGCAACTTTGGAAGATGTGAGGGAAAGGGCTGGGATGATTCAAAGTCGTCCAGTTTACCAGATTGATAAAGTGAAGGGCGGTGGAACTTGGATTTTGTTTCCCTGTTCCATTTCAAAGGACAAGTACGTGGAAGAATTAAAAAAGTGCAATTCTAAGATGCAGGCAATGTGGAAAAACGACACTGCTGACCCAAGGATCTGTAGGTTAGTCGAGTAAAGAAATAATAATATAATAGCTTTTTATTCATTAATAATACAAACGTCCTTTTACCTTAAAGTACAACATTGACTAATTAGTATATGTAATAGGACTCCATGCTGCCCAATTAAGAAATAATTGGACGAGGAAAATTCCGAGGACTGACTCGTAGGCCGAGTCTAATTTGGCAGTCAGAGGAATTTTTCGAGTCTAATTATTTCTTGATTGGGGAGCATGAAATCCCATTACCTATTAATTATATAGCCGCCTAATTAATCCCATATCAACAAGACCTAATAATTGGACAGTTACCTATATGGGATTGATGAGAAGCTGTATAATTAAACTGAATTATACGTGTAAAAAGTATGCTAAATTATAATTAATTATACAGTTAAAAAATGAAAATTATACAATACTTATCTATCTAAAAAGGTATCTTTTTTTTAAAAAAAAAAACTTTCTTAAAACGCTCGGTTTTTATGGCCGGGAGAATAAATATATATCTCTCAAAACCCTGGGTTTATTGAGTTGGAGAAGATGGAATAGGTGGTGAATGGGCCGATTTATCTTTCCCATAATCTGAAATCTGATTTTTCAGTCATTTCTTTTCAATATTTTCCCGTCTCTTTTTACACAATTTATCTAAAAAGACAACTTTTTTTTTTTCTTACCAGAGAATACTACAACACAAAACAATGCCAAAAGCAGCTATTCGATACAAAATGTAATTACACTGGTGAAACTAAAATTTCCAATGACCTTTTGTTTGGGAGCTACAACCCGTTTTGCCCTGGCGGAGTGGACATCACAAGTGGAACTACCTTTTGTAAACCCTTTGGTACAATTGCCTTGACTACAATACTTTTGCTTGCTATTCTGTTAGGCCAGCAGTGAGAGAAAAAGGACTAGTCATCAGAGGTCCTGCAGCATGAATATCGATTTTTAGTCTTATAATCTTATCATTCCTATAAAATTAGACCATTTACCTAGGTTAGCTGTTAACTGTCTTGTGTTATTCTATTAGTTATTTTTAGAGATAATCTGTGATACTAATGACCTTTTTACTGATACGGCGGCCATCTTGAATTATGTCTCGTAGCAGATAATTTTATCACCGTAGGTACGAAAGATAGTAGACTGACGTTTCATCCGTTAGTCCTTCGTCGGAGTCAATTGACTCTGACTGACTCCGACGAAGGACTAACGTCCGAAACATCAGTCTACTATCTTTCGTACCTACGGTGATAAAATTATCTACTACGACCCATTTGATTCAACTAAAAAACACCGACGCAGTCCAAACTAGTTCCAAAACTAGTCGTCATCTACATCTTGAATTATGGTTGCCCAGGCGGCAAACGTAGAAAATATATAAATCACAGGGTGACGGGGTTATGTTTTTAAATAACTTGAAGTCTTTACTTGGTGTTCTGCATATTGTTCAAACTTCCAGCAAATTGAATAGTCCCACAGTTCCCTGCGCTGTCTTCAAAGGTAGCCGTGCCTTTGCATCGAACGATGATGAACGATGAGTTTGCAATGATAGAAACCCGTTTTTAACATCTTGAACAATTATTCACATGTGTCTATCGTTGCAAACGCGACGTTCGTCTCACTTCGATGCAAAGGCGAGCTACTTTTTAAGATGGCGCAGGGAACTGTGAAGGGAACTATTGCTTTTTAGATGTGATTCTTTGAATACAAAATCTAAGTTCTAAAGTGGAAAACCTTTGAAAAACAATAAACCCAACGCATTTAATCCCCCATTTCACTATTTCTTTTTGTTTTGCAAGTTTTTGGGAGGGGAATTCATTATCAACAAGTTTTTGTAAGTTGTAACTGAAATACGGATTCCTGCGAAATGACCAACTCGACCAGACATTCATCCTAAAACAGTTTTTAATCTCGCGGTAAAAATGCGAAAAACCTTTTCTTTTTTTTTTTTCTTTTTTTTTTTTTTTTCTTTTTCTTTTTTTCCTTCAAATAAAACCCAAAGTATTTAATCCCCCATATTAAATTATTTTAAAAATTTAATTTTTGAAGAAGGCAGTCGGGTAATCCGTAAAGTAATGAATTGCAATAGTCCAGGCGACTGGTTACAAATGCATGAATAAGACTCTCTGTAAATTCTTATAGTGGGGAACCTCGTCGTTTGACTTATGTTACATAAATAATAAAATCCCGCTTTACACGTGTTCGTCACATGTGTACTCTTAGTAAAATTGCTATCAAAGCACTTAACACCCACGTTTCTAATGGAAGCATCCTTGGCAGAGGTTAACTTTCTTAGACGATTTTGATTGTCTGGTCGTTGCGGTTTCATCACAATGTGGAGTACAGACACGGAAGGTATGGGTTGCCTGTGTTTGTTAAGTTCACCTGCGGTGGTTTGTGATCATTAAAATCATTATAACATAAACATCTGTGTATCAGTGCTCATTACTTCCTTAGGTAAGCCAACTCCCTGTTATTTCGTATTAAAGGTCCTATTTGAATTGTTCCAAGGCAAAATGAAGGTTGTGCTTGCGGTATTCGTTCTTCTAGGTAAGATATATAAACAATACATATTAACTTTTTAAAAATGAATCAAGTGTGATGTTTCAATCGCTGAAAGCAAGGGCCACTGTAAAGCCATCACCAAACGCATAGTATCGCCCTGGAAGCATGCAATTAAACCATGGCTGTTGAATAAAGTCATTTTAAGATTTGCTCCAACATTTTTATGTAATGCGAATTTTTATTAACCTTTGTGTAATGGCCTTTTTTCTGCCCTCCGCTCTGGCCTTCTGCCGCCCTACGGAAGGAAGGAAAGTAACCTCTGCTCGCAGGGTAATGCTTATTATGCTCTGAAATCTTAGAAGTAGTTTCGCTGTTCAAACCATTTGGTAAGGGAATCAATTCCCGTCGTCTTTTTGACTAAGCCAACGACGACAAGACGAATTGGATTGCAAGATGATGCGGAATCGTACTGTAATAGTTTTACTGATATTCGCTTACAAATATTCTGGACCAGTGTAAATTTATTAACCAAAGCTGACATGGAATCTCCAATGATTCAGAAAAGTCAATGGATATGATTTAAACCAATTTGTGTTTTTGTCGGGCCGCAGATTTAAAGTATAACGTCGATGCTCGAGGGTTTCGTGATTCATAGGGTAGAGAATTCGTCAGGAACAAAATATAAATTTGAGAAATTTGAACCACAAAAAAAGCAGCATTTTCTCAATGTGCATTTTTTCTGTCTATATTTTCTGAGGCTACACTAGCTACCTAAATATTTATGATGACCATTGTTTCAATTATTTGACCGACAACAACGATATGAAATCATACATTTTTAATATGAAGAATAATATGCACACTGTACAGCTAGTTATCAAGCTGTCCATCGCGGTTAAACGCAGGCTTACCGTTTTAAGTGTGATTGACTGGTTTCCCCACACCTCTTCCCCTCCCCCCCCCCCTCCCCTCTTCCTCCACGACCTCCACCACGCCATTCCACCCCCTCGCCACGCCACCTCCTGCACATCCCCACCCCCCTCCCTCAACCCCTTATATATGGTTCTAGGAAACTGAACATGCGTCGTTAAACACGACTTTTTCCGGTAACAAGGTTATTATGTCCGTAGAATTACTGAATGACCCACGTTTATTTTATTTTTAGATATGCTTTTGTTGGCTAATACATTGGAAAACTACACGATTGTCCATATAGTCAACATATCGGATTGGAACCTGACAGGTTTGAACACTTATTTAACTATCATCGTTGTGATTATCGTCAGGAGTTTTCAAATTAATATGTTATCGAAGCCACTAGACCTCTTTACCTTGGGCGTAATGTTTTCCCGTTTCAGACCACGTGTCATTCCCTAGAATATCATTCCTTTGTGAAACGGTTAGTGCATGATAAGACACATGAATATGGATACAACCCAAACAAATAGTCTTATTCTCAAGAGAATGACACCTGTTCTGAAATGCGAAAACATTAACGCCCATTTCATTTTATAAAGCAAACTCTGGACCCTCTTCTATTCAAGATTAAATACTCAGTTTGTTCGATCAGGATAACATTAGAACATCTAAACGTATCTGCCCGAAATGCCGTAAGACTAACACTCTTATACTGTGTGCCAATGTTAATCGGAATATATTTGTATTTTTTCATACTTCTCTTTTTGCTTTCACGAATCGTTATTATTTCATCAATATATTATAAGTTCTTTCTTATAGGTTTTTGGGGTTGGGCTTGGTGGATAGCCTAGAAGTAGCGGATTTCGTGTCGTATTGTTGGTCCGCCATGTATACATGCATGTTTTTGCGTAATAAGTCTGTAAAATAATGAAATAAATAATAAAATAAAAATAAAGAGTTCTATTTCACCGGTTATGCATACCGCTCAAAAAAAAAAAAAAAAAAAAAAAAAAA